AAATAACCAAGTATTTATTCTTATAAAAATCAAAGCTTAAACCAGGTTGAGTGGAATGGCTCAAGCCTATAATCTGAGCTGCTTGAGAGGTAGAATTAAGTGGGTTGAAGTTTGAGGCAAGCCTGGGCATCAAAATTTATGAGACAGTATTTCAAGGAATAGCTAGGTCAGGTGGTCCATACCAGTCATCCCAGCTATGAGGGACGCAGCACAGCTGGGAGCAGTGGTGTGTGGTACTGAAAAAAGAAATAGTGGGTAAGGTTCAAGTGACAGACCACATGCCTAGCAAGAAAGAGTGTCTGAGTTCAATCCCCAGCACAAATAAGTAAGTAGATTGATAAATGGTTCAGCCAACATCGAGTAAATAGTAACATATTTGCTAAATATAAGAGCAGTGATAATTGCTTCAGAAATCTTAATTTTAAATGTGTGCAAGCATATACATTGATTTGATGGAGTGATTATCATCAGGCATTAAAATACATCAGTCAAATTATTTCTTTACTTATTTATTTTTTTGTTCAAGTTCTGGTTCATGAAATCAGGGCCTGGGCATTCTCCCCGAGTTTTGTTTTGTTTTGTTTTTCTCAAGGCTAGTGCTCTACCCTACCACTTGAGAGACTCCAATTCCAGCCTTCTGGTGGTAATTTGGAGATAAGAGTCTCACAGAATTTCTTGCCTGTGTTGGCTTCAAAGTAAAATCCTGAGATCTTAGACTCAGTAGCATGAGCCACTGATGCATAACCTCTTGTTGTTATTTTCAATAAACACCAATATTTTGGTTTGCTAACACATTTTAGTTCAAATTATTTAAAACAAATATTATCTTCTAACGGTTTGGGTATGTACAATATGATAAGCATGAGTCACAATTATATTTTAAATACGCAATTCTCCTCTTTAAGAAACTGTTTTCATATTCTCTCACTTTTTGCTCCTTTCTAATGTCCTGTATTTTTATTCCTTTCCTTTATCTAAGAAATAATAAACCAAACACTTTATGATTTAAAATTGAGTCTGACTAGTCAATTATATAATTTTTCTATCTCTTGTACATTTAACCACAAAATCATTCTGGAAATAACTATAAAATAAAACCATATTTTTCAAACACATTTTGATGTAACTTTAGTTGGAGATCAGAAATCTATAAAAAGTAAATGTTAGTGCATTACACTGAAAAAAATCACCTACTTCTAAAATAAATAAACAACCCAAATTAACAGTTGTCACATAACTGGAAACTTGCAGAAGAGCTCTCTGAACTGAATCTAAGCTTTGGACTAAGTCAAAACTATGTGTTTATATTATTTCTAGGTTAATTGAATAAATCAGACCCATGGTACCCACATTTCACTCCATCTCTACTACCCAGGAAAAAAAAGTTCTCTGGATGTTTTCAGAGAGTGAGGTATATAATCTACATAACCCCAAATTTGCTTGGTGATATCATTAATGATAAGTATTAATCCTCTGTCCAAACTAGAGAATTATGACACAAAAATAGTGATGAATTAATTCTTCAAAGGTAAAAATGAAGGTTATTAAAATGAACTTGGGTCCTGTTGGCCTAGATTTGACCAAGTGGCAGAGAACATGGCAATAATTTGAGTAGTAAGTCTTTTTAAAGTAGATTCTGCCTCTGCTGAAATATTTTTTCTGTTAACAGATATAAAAAATTACTAGGGAATTATCAAAACATATTATATTCCCTTACACTGAGAGATCTTAAGCATGACAGTTTTTACATGCCATGTAGTAGTTAACAAGGAATTTTTCCATGAAGGAATTAAAACTATTAGAAATTACTTATAATAAATCACATATACAGCACTTAAACTTCTAAAGCATTCACAGAAGAACAATGTTTAGACTTCTCAACAGTTCACAAAGCAGATATCATGTTTCACAAATGTTTATGGAAAGGTTTGCGCATTATTAACTGGCAGTTTCTTCATTTCAGGGAAGAAAATTAAGCTTTAGTAGAATGAATTCCATGTTGTCTAATTATCCAGCAGTTCAAGAATCCTTATCTATTCACTGTCAAACAATTCCTGTTTTTTTTCTATATCACAATGTATAACATGTCTCATATTGCAGCAAGCTCTCTCTCTCTCTCACTCTCTCTGTCATCTATAGCTCATTGTGTTAGACAAACAAAAAGAAAATGTCAAATAAATGATCTGTCTCCATTTATATCCTATTTTATACTTCTGTACAAGTTTGGGAAAAGTGTGAGGTGAATATAAAAAATACTCTTCCTTTCTTCATTGATGGCTTTTTCCTTTAGGTGATAAAGTGGAATGAGTGAACAGATTAGCTGCATGGAATTTACAGCTTTTAAGAAATGGCAATAATTACTAAAGAGCCTTTGTAAATTTCAGTAAGAATAATCTCTTCTATTCACACGTTGTGATAAATTGTTGAACTCGGTAGATCATCAAGTAAATAAGTGCAAAGGGAGATCTAATATAATCTATGGCTATCAATAATTACATTGTAATATTCAACTGACATTTAGTTGGTTTTCAAAAAAGTTAACCAATATTGTTTTTTAAAATGTTTTATAATGAAAAATTACAAGTCACAACACCCTTCCCCCTCTATCACTTCTTCCATTTCTCATTAGAGGAAAAATATCACTTGTTCCTATTCTAGAAATCTCTTTTAATTATTCTCTGATCCTATATACTTTCTTGATTATGAAATTCTATGTCCCTATATTCTTTGGGTCCCAATATATTCACAGCCAACAACACTTACTCTTGCCAACAAAACTTTTTTAAGGGGATGAAAGCATGAATGTCTAATTATTGCATCTGATAATCCTGTGATCACATACATCCTTTTTTCAGTAACAAAGTAGCCACCCAAAGAGATTATTTTAATAAATGCACTGCAGATGCCTCCAACAAAAGTACTGATTTTTCTTTCAAAATTAACTGAAATCAAAATGAGAGCTGTTTTCTAATAAGCCCCTCTCATTCCTTTACTTGTTTATAATTTATTTACTTAAGCAATTACAGACTAGCAATGAGGTGAGCATTTGACTGGTTTGGCAAACTACTTCTGCTTAACATTTCCCCAGATACAAGTACTGACAGGTGCTTTCATGCACATCCTTGAGTTTGAAATGCTGACTTAGAGTTGGTTATTTCAGTGACTCCATCTCCAAAGGAAATAGGCAATGGTAACTTTTACTTTGTCTTATTTCAGCTACACATAGAGAAAGGCTGCCCCCTCAGCCACCAAGGTGGGAACTGCGGTCTGACACCCAGTGGCATCATTCTAAAATTCCCTGGTTTCATTTTATGCTCCATTGACAGGGGAGTCCATCTACATTAATTAATTGACAACCAAACTAATAGTCTAGCAAACATGCTGTAATTCCCCTAAAACGTAATTAAGTCTTCCATGTCGTAATTCTGCTCCCACATCTCCAGCATAGAAAAGAAAAAAAGAAAAAGAAAAAGGACTGGGGAACTGTGTAAAGAGCATATTGTAAGAATCCAAATCAATGATAGCTCTTTCTGCTCCTCAGATGATCATTTCTGACCTATCTAGGGCAAAAGAACCCCTAAGGATCTCAGTGACATAAATGTCCCTGCTCCCTTTCTGCCAAGCAAGCAGGTTTGTGCTAAGTGCTAAGTGACACTTAAGAATGATTTTTTTTTCCCTTAATCTGTAATTGCTACTCTCAAGGCAAAGCAAAAAAAGGGGGCATCAGCCCACCAACAAATATCATCCTGATTGCCTCCGGACTTTACATTCAAATTGTGAAAGAAAGTATGGATATACATTAAATGTATTTTATTAGCAGTTATATGTGGCCCATAAAATTTATAGACAAACCTTTTAACTCCTGCAGTTTTTTAAAAGCATGACATCTTTTCACAGAATTGATTATGCATATGTTGTCACATGCATTTACAAGCCCGTAAAAGTCCATCCTTGTACTTCCACACTCCCCACCAGGCTGATTGTGTTCCCTGGAATTGAGCTGAGTTCTTTCTAAAATTTCAGGCATTGGCTATAAATTTGTAGTATAATGCTTATACTCACTGAACATTCTTTTTTGTATTAAAGCAGGTTGTTGATCAAGGTCACTTGGAAAGATCATAATTTTAAAGCTTCAAAGGAAGATTCCAGAAAGAAAACTCAAGAGAAAAGCCGGTTTAATTAAAGTTGCTGGTTTGTTACAAACCTATTTACTTCTACAAATTTCTGGAATTCAGTGACAAATGTATTTTGTAGCATTAATTCATCAGAATGCCATCAAAATGCAGCTCAGTTCTCCTAAAGAAGCAAAATAAAACTACTCAGCTTCTGCCTTCTGAGGTTCTGCTCTGATCAAGCATACTTGAGATTTACAGGCTGGAGAGTGAGAACTAAGTAAAAAATGTGTGTTTCTTCAGACAAAATTCTACAGGTGCAGCTATACTTGGGGGGCTGGATGAAAAAACAGTTCAGATAGTCACATATACAACTTTGTGTGCTATAAATCATTTGGCAAATTAGAGCCATTTACAATACTTTAGGAGTGGTTAAACCACTCAACTTTTTGAGTTTCACAAAGTGTGTAACAGACAGAATCACTTTTAGCTACATACAGAAGACATAGAAGCACTCTCATGAAAAATATGAGTTCATGTTACTTTTAAAGAAAACAATGAGCAAGATACATACAGATCCACAAGGATATTAGGTAAGCAATAAGAAAATGTTTACCTAAAAGACTGCAGTGATATAGTATGCCAAATATATTTTCTTTATTCTGTTGTCACCTGGGAGACTTCAGAGAAGTAAAATATCAGACTATTTTCTCAAGCAAGATATTGTCTCTGTTGGATCTAAGAATACTCATTGAAGAATTAAATAAAATTATTCAGCATCTCCTGAACAGTGAAAGCACATAGCATTTTTTTTAATGTTCTTCCTGTTAAACCTTAGGGAAAGTCGCTGAGTCTTCTTACACAAGAAATAATAGCATCATCACTTACCTGCTAAGTAGAGGAAATAAAATTCTTCTCAGCTCCTCCAAGGAAGGGGTTGAGTAGATCTCCAGGCTCCCCTAAAGCTATTTCCACAACAGTTGTCACCCACCCAGGAACATGCCGCTTATTTCAAGAACTGTGGGCCTTGGAGTATTTCAGTCCTTGCTGCAGAGCCCATGGTTTCTCCGTGCTTCTAAGAACTTCCACTTCACTCTTCTGACTGCATTCCTCCCAGCCTTCCTATAGAAAAATGGTTCTTGAAGTTGCTTTTGAGTTCAGCAGAGGAGCAGAGTGCCCCAGTACTCCTTAGAGCTGGGTGCTCTAGGGTGATTTTTCGTCCATTCGTGGAGAGGGTCAGAAGGCACAGGTTTTCAGTTGCGAGGGGCAGGGTGCTCGGCTGCCAGTGGCGACGACAGTGGTGGCAATGACAGCAGTGGCGCCAGCGCAGTTTTGTCCCCACGGCTGCAGTCCAGTCCGACACTGTCCATCCCCTCAGGTGCTGAAGTAAGGGGTCCGGAATCCCCAGCCCGATCCCAAATCGCACTAGCTCCAATCAGCGTGTCGGAACAGCTCTCTCGTCTCCCAGCTCCCTGGGCTTTCGTGGGCGCTTTATTTTCCTTGGTAAGGGGTGATTATCTGCACCCACGTAAGACCCTCACATGTATTTGAGGGCAGCTTCGTTGGAAAGACAGGAATCCGTGAGAAAAAAACGATCTGAGCCTCTCCTGACTTTTCAGTGGCCCTGAACGAGTTTGCTAATGGTAAAAATGAAAGAGAAGGCAGGAGCACGCGCGCGCACACACGCGCGCACGAAAGGAGAGAGAGCGAGCGAGGGAGAGAGAGAGAGAGAGAGAGAGAGAGAGAGAGAGAGAGAGAGAGAGGGTACTGGGGAAAATCCAGAGCTTCTTTGGAAAGCTCCTGGGTATTTAATTACATAAGATGAACATTTTGGAAGACTCCAGTTCGGGGATCGGTATTTACATTTGGAGAAGCCCTATTCGAATGCCTACACCAGAGACCATCAAGAGTCTTAGATCATACACATGGAAAGGACAAGTCATTGATAGAAAATAGAAAGGACGAAAAGGACAGGCTTCTGGGCTTTACTACCTTTGAAAACGCGGCTGAAACGGGCTCGGGATCCTGGCAGAGCCTTTTAAAGCATCCAGCGGAAGCTAGCGTCCCGGCGGAGCTCGCCTGCGAGCCGAAGTCGGAAGGCGGCTGCATTCCGGGGCCGGGCTCAAGGCTGCCCCCAACCCGGGTCCTACAGGGGGGCAGGAAGCGCCCAACCGCACCATGCGGGGGACAAAGGGAAGGCTTAAAGTCGCGGTGGGCTAGGCCATCCCTGCCTTTTAAATCTCCCCAACCAATGCAACCTCCAGCCGGGGTTTTCAACCTGCTGCCTTCCTCTCTCTCCCCTCGTCCCCCCCTCCTCTTCCAGGCTGCCCCTCCCTCCGGTCCTCTCCGGGGTTGGAGCTCTTCCCCGGCCTAGCAGGCTCTTCCTTCCAGCCGCGCCGGACCCCTCTTCCGCCCGCTCCCCAGTCCCAGCACGGGCGGGCGCGGGGCTTGTAGACAGGTTTGGGTGGGAGGTCCTGAAGGCAGCCGCCCAGGGCTCCCCACCCACACTTGCCAAAGAGTGCTGGTCCGCGAGGAGCGCGTCGGGAATTGAGATCTACAGCACGGAAACTGTGGGAAACTGTTTCAAATCCCGTCCACGAGGATTTCTGGAGCCACTGGGTTGGGGTCAGGGGGAACAGGAAGCAAAAGGGGGAGAAAATGAGGGCGCCCGCGGTGCAGCCCACTTCCCCAGACATTTGTGCAGCGCCGATTTCTACATCAGAGGTTAACCACAGACTTGCGGGGACGTCCGCGAAAGATGGGCAGACTAACTAGGGGTCCAGGGAGGTGGGCCGGTATGTAGTAGGTGGGGTGACTCTGGGCCAGCATCTGCTTCCCAGACAACTGTTTGGGTTCTTCCTCCTCCTAGTCTGACACCAGAAGGTGGTGGCTGCGCCTTCTTCCCACGTTTGCAATGGGGATCGGGGCCCAGGTGCGTGGTCTGCAGACTTTCCAGTGGATTGACCTCCCACCGCTCTGCTCCCAGAGACTGAGCTGGGTTCCCCGCTGCGCTGGAGAAGCAACTGAGGCAGAACAGCCCCAGGGGAGTTCCCTACAGTTCACGCAAGGATCAACTCGATGGAGCTGGGAAAACTCCAAAAGGAGGAAAATCCAAATCGGCAGGAAAAGTGCACACTTGCGTGGGACTTTGAGCCACTCCCTGCAGTTAGCAATGCCTAGGTTTCTGTGGGGCACCGGCTGCCTGTTCCCATGCTCGCCTGGAAGAGGCCACTGTCAGCGCTGGACCTCAGTTCAGGCCATGGACGCTGTGTGGAGCTCCAGCCATGGGCAGTGCTCTCTGCAGAAGACCAGAAAACCATTCATAACAGTGTCTACCAACCCCATTGAAAAGAGCACGGCTGTATTGAAAGGTGAGAGTCTCTAAATGTGTATCAGACTTTACTGAACTACCCGTTCTAAAGAGAATATTCACTTAAAGAAGAACATTTTGAAGGGGCTGTTTTATTTTGTGGTTGTGGGGAAAAAAAAATCTGTTTAGCCAGATTGATGGTGAGTGAAGTTTCTCTTCCCACCAATGCAAACAAGTGCTTCTTGCACTAAGTCAGCTGTAAAAATAAGTTCCAGAATGACCAAAAACAAACCCACGAGGGCTGCATTTTCCTGGGGATATTATTCCCTGCCAACAAACAGATTTTTTCCCCTCTACTGTATTTAACTCTAGGTTAGTTCAGTTGATTTAATTGATTTAAAAAATTGTATTCTCTGGATCTATATGAACTTGAAAATTAACACACCCAATAAAAGCAGAGCATTAAATGAAGCCCAGTATGAAGATGTTGTTAATTAAAATATATGCACTTGATTATTGAGAACTAGAGCAACAGATTTCCCCTTCTTTCTGAGCACTGATTGACACTAATGTAGCCTCTCTCTTTCTGCCCTTTTCTCCCCCTCCCTCTCTCCTGCCAGTAAAAAAAAAAAAAAGAAAAACAGTTGATTAATTTGAGCTGTCAGCACTAACAGATTCTGTTAGTTTGATGTCTTTTCTAGGAGAAGCAAAACCACACTCCATGCTTCTTTTCATCAAGCGTGGAACCCCTCTGCAAGTTAAGATGATGTAAATCCAGTGCAGCCTAACATCTGATAGCACAGATGAATATAAATGAAGTATAACAAAACTGTGGGCAGATAAGCTAAATGAAGTGAAGTGTTGTAAGAAACTTTTCCCTTGGAGCAGATTGGTGGTAATTTGTTTCAAATGTGTTTTTATTCTTGTAAAATGTGAATGTGAATTATCAAAGAGGTATATAAAGCATTATGTTCACAAGAAAATGCATTAGGCTCTTAATCAGCTCTTTTGGTTCCTCTCAGATTACAAATCAAGGGTACAAGCTGTGCATCTGTGGCTCAAAGCTTTGATCCTAGCTACTCAGGAAGCTGAGATCTTAGAGGCAAGGTCTGAAACCAGCCCAAGCAGACAAATTCAACTCTTACTTCCAATTAACCAGCAAAAAGCTTCAAGTGGAGGTATGGCTCAAGTCATAGAGTTCTGGTGGCGAATGGACAAAGCCAGGAGAGGATGAGAGGCTCACAATTCAAACCCCAGTACCAGTAAACAACAAACAGACAAACCAAAACAACAACACCCTTCAGTGTAGGAAACAAGGTAGTCAATGTTACATTTGCTTGACAGTTTAAAGTCCTGTGGGGGATGATGTTTGCAGTATAATGCAAAACCTTCATAAAATATGATGAATAGCAATTAAGATTTTATATGAAACCCTGAGACAGGCTCTTTGCATTACTATAAATCTTCTGATGTTTTAGAGTCATTTTTTCTTTATCCATATATTAAATCATGGTAATATAATTCTACTAACCTCATTGAATTGTCATGTATAAAAAATGTGTATAAGATTTTCATGTACTCTCTCTATATGTATATATATACACATATATTCTTTTATAAATAAGTTTTTTATTGGGAAAATACTGTACAGGGGGGTTACAGTTACATGAGCATGGTAATGAGTACATTTCTTAGTAAGGATTGTTGCTTCGTCCTTTATTTTTCCTCTAACATCCCTTCCCTCCCACCTCCTCAACTACAACCCCGCCTATATTGTAAAGTTTGTTTTTCAACATAGCATCTTGTACATCTCATTGTTGCAATAGGTCAACCTGTATCCCTATTTAAACAATTTTTTTCCTTTCCTCTCCCCAAATTATACCAACATCAAATACAGTGAAAACAGGGTTATACCGTGGGAGAGGGACATACAAAGCAACAAAAATATCACAGGGCACCTTATGAATACATTATAAACAATAGCAAGAAAGAAAAACACCTCTTGTGTCTCTATCTTGGGGTCCATTTCACTTAACATCTTCTTATCTGAACTTTTCTGCTTGTCCCAGACATATACTAATTATCACAAATAAAAGAAACCATGCGACCTATGTTTCTTTGGGCCTGGCTTACTCTACTTACTATAATTTTTCCCAAGTCTTTCCATTTCCTAACAAATGGAGCAATGTCAATCTTTCTAATGGAGGCATATAATTCCATTGTGTATATATATACCACATTTTCTTGATCCATTCATCTACTGAGGGGCATCTGGGTTGGTTCCATATCTTAGCTATGGTAAATAACGCTGCAATAAACATAGCTGTGCTGGTAGCTTTAGTATAGTCTTGTATGTGATCATTTGGGTAAATGCCCAAAAGGGGGATTGCGGGGTCATAGGGGAGCGCTATGTGGAGTCTTTTGAGGAACCTCCATACTAGTTTCCAAAGTGGTTGAACAAGTTTCCATTCCCACCAACAATGCAGTAGGGTTTCCTTCTGGCTACAACCCCTCCAGCATCTGTTGCTATTAGAGTTCTTGATTATAGCCATTCTAACTGGGGTGAGGTGGTATCTCAATGTTGTTTTGATTTGCATATCTTTTATGGCTAGAAAGGTTGAGCATTTCTTCATGTGTCTATTGGACATCCTTCTTTCCTCTTCAGAGAAGTTTCTCTGTAAGTCTTAAGCCCACTTATTTATACATATTTAATTCTTTTGTCTGTACAGAGGAAATGCATTTTGTTCATACACAGGTCTTATGGTTGCTGGGCTTGCTTGCTTGT